AAAAAACATGTAATGTAAATTGTAATTTTAACATTAATTAACATTTATAATGTATTATCCTATGTATAAAATGTCAGAAAAACCAAATGTCACATTGCCGTTAAAGAAAAACGGAACGAATTCATACTGTTATTACAATATTTTTAATACTTACACAGTAGTAAGGTGAATTGATTGCATATACAACATATTTGTTTATACATTAATAAAAATCACGAAATATAAACATAATGCATAAAATATATATACATATATACCTTAAGACATAAATTTATTATCAGTCATGCAACAATAAGTTTTAAATAACAATAACTACAAAAAAAAAACAACATAAAATAAAGAGTGTGCAAAATTATAAACAATTCTCTTTGGTAATTTTAATTTTGTTTCTGTTTTTTTTTTGGCACACTCCTATTTCTCTAAAAACTAATATATTGTAAATATTACATGTTTGTTCATATGTAAATATGCATAGAAAAAATGTAAAATAAAATTTACCAAAATTTCTTAACACATACATTTATGCATATAATTATACAAACTTTTCAACACTGGAAGCCATTTTTATATTTTCTTATATGCTTTTACATATTATATTGATTTAATAATAATTTATTATTTTGTGATTATGGTACTCGTATATGCAATTCTCTCTCTTTGCTGCCAAAAAAAAAAAAAAACAAAATTTTGTAAAATCAAAATCTTTACAACACCACAACACCAGCTGACGAATATGGTGAATATTTTTTTGTTTTCCTTTCATAATATACAAATAAAATACTTAATAAACAATAAGTGAGAAAAAAAAATTCAAGATAAATTTTATTTAAAAAGTAAAATTAAATAAATTTTTAATATTATTAAATACAACACTATTAAAATGAAGTTGAATATCAACAGTGTGTTATGGTGGTTGCAACATGATAAAATAACATTAACAGTGGTGTATATTTATGGTATATATCATAGTGTAATAATATTAAAACACTTGTAACAGCTATAGCAATAAATGCATATAACGGTAGACAGAAAAATCATTTTATAGAAATAAGAAAAAATAAGAAGAAGAAAAAAATTTAAATTAAAAAAAAAAATTTGTTATTTCATTTTTCTTAATATCCAAATCTAACCACGCTGAATTTTTTTGATATTAACGGTCATTTCGTTTGCGAATGTTAACGAGTTGATATCGAACTTTTAACAAAGGTACACAAAAATATTTTTTTTTTTTTTGCATCAATTCACATAATATTTTTAATTTTGTTTTTATAAATTTTTTTTGTGTTTTATTTTATTTTTCAAAATAAAAAATTAAATTTTAAATATTTGTTTTTTTTTTTTTTGGTTATTAATAAAAAATATAATTAATTGTGCATCAGTGAATAATTTTTTTATTTAATTTGACATTATTTTAAAAATGAAAGTTATAATAATTATTTTGACATATTAAATATTTGACATTTGGAATAAATGAAGATGAATTATGATCAATTATAAAAACTATAATGAAAATTAATTAAAAGTTAAAAAAAATTAAATAAATTGTTTAAATATAAGAAATTTCAACATAATTGAATCTGGTTTTGTTTTTTGTATGATATTGATCCACGTTAATTTATTGAAAGAGCTGACATATGTATTTAAATTTTGACATCGAATATATAGAAATGTCATAATTATTAATAAGAGAAAAAGTAGCAAATTTGGTTTTTTTTTTTTAATTAAATAAAAAATCATTTGCTATATCAAAAAAAAAATATATTAGGCAATTTAACCCATATATATTCAGGCAATATACACATATACAAGCGTGCACCTACTACATACATATGTGTATATGTATTTACAAACAAATTGTAATAGGAAACTGATAAAACAAAAATTTTCAAAAATATGTGTGTTTGTGCATACGTCAAAATTACATTTGAAGTGTCTAGTCATTGGTTTTTGTATACATAAGATTTTCAATTGAAAAGTAAAAAGAAAAAACTAATTTCATTGAAATTTAATGGAAAAAAATATTGAAATAAAAATCATTATTTAATTAAAAATAAATAATACACAAAAACGATAACAGATGTATCTATTACATAATTTTTATGATTATTTGCAGTTCTTCATTTAAAATATTGTATTGAATGTTATCATATCAATAAACATCCTCCAATTGATTTGTCTTTCATACAATAGAAATTTGAAGCATGTTGTACATGTTTGGTGTAATTGTCAGGCCGTCAGCAAAATTTTGTTGATGATATAAGAATTCAACACCATCAAGTTCTGATCAAATAAAACCAATGAAGATTTTTTGATGTCTGTAAAATTATTACGAATTTACGAATTTCAATTTAATTTGAAATTTTAACTTTGATATTTTTTCAAATAGAATTTCTAAAATTTATTCTTAAATGTTTTTAATTATTGTTATTAAAAATATAATAACCTTATAATATTGAAAAATATTGTCATTGAACTCGCCGGTATCCCACGGCATCAATTCTTTATTCGCATTGTTTTAAAAAAAAAACAACAATTTTATTTGCTTAAACGGAATTTTGACTACTTTTATATAAATTTTTTTTAGATCTTGAATTAAACATTTATTTACTTAATTAATTTTTAAATTATTTTGAATTTGTATGAGTATGGTTAGTATGTATGATCAAGTCCTGCATATATCACAATAAAATTATATGATGTATACAATTCATCATGCTCCGCATTTATCATTTTTTCACACATACATCATTTTAAAATTTATGTATGTACATTATATATATGTGTTCTAATCAGTGATAATCACAAATTCTGTGTTTCCGAGTTACAAAATCTTTGAGATATTTTGACATTTTTTAAGCCACTTATTATAAATAAGTATTTATTCTTTATTTTCATAATTAAAGTTCTATAAATTTAAGAACTTTTATGTATAATCAATGTATGTATATACATATTTAAATTTTTGATAAATTTTGTTTACATAACCCATTATTTTATTAAGAATTTGTGCTGTGAAACCCCATACTGCGGTGATACCATAACGCACTATGGTATTCAATAAAACACAAAGATTTATGTATAATATTCTTTGACATGATTATTCTTAAAATCATGTTAAACATTATATACAAACATAATTTTGGTATACATAATTTGCGTCTAATGAAACACAGATGCTTATACATACCTTTGTGCATAATAAATATCACATTTTATTAAATTCAAAATATCATTTTCAATAGATCACATATCAACGTCTCAATTTAACCTCATCTAATAGCCAATTACTACTATTACACATTCTAACATACATGTTACTTATGTACATACATATATCATACTTATTGAATTTTTGTATATAATTACGTATTTTATATATGTATATTTATGTATATACTATATATTATATAAAGGCTGCTGCTGCGCTGCTGCACCATTCAAAACTATTATGGTAGAAATGATGGTATAAAGAAGCTATAAAAAAGAAAAACAAAAAAATAAAAAAAAATTTCAAGGTTTTTACTACAACTTTTTATTTTTGACCTGATTTTTTTTTTCTTTAGTATATTCGCCATGACTTGAATTTATTAAATTATTATAAAAGCGAAAATAACAAAAAAAAAAAACTAAAATACTATAAATAAATTTTAAAAAGAAAATTAAATGACATTTATTCATATAAATTTACTTTATAGATAATTTAAAATCAAAATATTTCAAAATATGAAAAAAAAAAGAGTTGTTAATAGTAAATATTTGTATGTATACATGTTACCTGTACATATCTACATAACATATGTATTTAATGAATATTTATTTTTTTTTTAGTCAGGTGCTATAAACTAACATTGATATCATTGATATTATTATGCGGCATGTACTTTTAAAATATTAATAAAATATTATTAGAAAAAAAAAACAAAAAATAAATAAATACAAGAATTACAATTTATTATTCCAAATACATTCGTGTTAAATTATTTTTCTTTTCTTTTATTGAAAATTAAAAAATTTATAGCAATAATGATTGCTACTTTAAAAAAAAAATATTTGAAATAAAAATTTTATGTACTTGTACAGAATAAAAAATGTTAAAGAATTCAACTGTTTATTTTTTGTTTAATTTTAATAATAAATTAATTAATAGTATAAGAATAACAGTGAACGGAATAAGTCTATTCAACAATTTGGTCAATTAAAATATTAAATTTGAATATAAACCTAAAAGAAAATAAAAGAATTCATATTTAATAAATTGCATAGATCTAGGTACATTTCTATGACTTAGTGATTGTATATCGCATATAATAAAAGATTCTTAGGCAGCGACATCTTTAATTCAAAAATATTTTGTATGAGCATATTATTGTAACAATTATTTGTTGAATAATTTATTAATAAAAAAAACCATCGCCTGACAGAATAAGTAATTGTAACTGTATAAAAAATAAATGATAAAATCTAACTTATCAAAATTACTTATCAAAATTATTTGTCAAAATTAACTTTTGTCAAAATAATATTTATAAAATAAATCTAAAAGTGCACATCACTTAATCGTTTAGCAATCAAAACGGAATATATTGGAATATATTTAGACAGAATAAGTACTTTAATTATGTTATTATTTTGACAATTAACATCAGTTTTTTAATCATTTTTTAGTAAATCCGATGATACGAGTAATTGACTAATTTTTGACCATTATACATATATATTTAAAATATTCAAACAAAAATAGAATATTAAATTCAAATTTTTATTTTAAATGCAATTTTAATGTTAATTATATTTTATTACAATTAAATCTTGAAAATATACATATATACTAAATTTTAACATTATTTTAATAGATTTTTTTTTTTATTTTTATTTTCAGATATAAAATTTTCTGCTACATCTAATATAATTGAATAATAATTTTTATAAAAATATCAATTTAATAATATAAAAATCATTAACAAAATGCAACATTTTAATAGAAATATAGTGATTTTATCAATTGTATTATTAACAATATGTCAATTAGCATTTTCTATGCCAAATGTTAGAGTAAAACGTCAAGAAGATGCTGAACAACAAATAACTTTAATTAATTTAGATGAAATTAATCCAATTGAATCACAGGTAATTTTTTTAATTACATACATCTATATTTATACAAATATATTACATATACATAATATTGAAGGTTTATTTCATTTTATATATTATAAATTATATAATATAAAAATATTGCTATATATATGACAAAATTTTACGAACAAACTACAAATATAACGCAAAAAATTTAATTCGAAATCATCGATTATTTTAATGTTTCTTACAATTTTTTTGTTTTTCATCCTAAATGTATTCAATAACTTAGTATAAGTGAGAAAATGGCTTTAATGGCTGATTGTTTCGAAATAAGTATTTTCACTTGGGAAAAGTGCTACTTTAAAAATCGTTGATTTAATTTAATTTTTTACATTATTTTCTTACATTCATAATACTTTTCGTAAATTTTTTAACCTTTACATATTTCTATTTTTTTTTAGTTAATATTCCCTGCCAAGAATTCAAAATTTTTTTACATATTTATTTTAATTTAAATATTCAAAACAAATTAATTCCAGTTGAATTGTACAGACATTATGTTGTGTTTACACAAAAAATATTTTCAATAAATTTTGGAATAATTTAACAAAAAATAATATATAAGAAAATTATTTTTATATTATATGAAATTTCTGTCTATATATATTTCAAATAAAAAGCGATCGCCATATGCTTATTCTTAACAAAATTAAGATTTTGTAATGCCTAAATTAAATCTGAAATGTTTTTTTGCATTATTACGCGATTTATGCACGTAAATTAATATATATTTATTCAAATTCATATATACATATATTTACAACTTACATATGTACATGTACACACAAATATATAGTACATTATTAAATAATTTTTAATTCAAAAATTTATAATCATTAACTTTTATAAATTAAACTCATATATGTACATATATAATATGTACATATATATACTAGTATTATAAAACGATATTTTATTAAATTATTATACGAATTACGATATTGTAATCTTTCTTTTATCTTCTTTATACAATTTTACAATTTTAAGCTCAGTTTCAAAATTTAATTACTTTTCCATTTTATGAACACAATTGTTACAAGATGATGATAATCTTATACTTACTTATAATTTTTTTTTTTAAATTTATAAAAAATTGCAACATTTTTAATAACAATCACTTTTTTTTTGTTTGCTGCTGCTACTTCTGTTTTTAAATGCTATATAAGTATAAGTATACGGCATTAGCTGTTATGTATATGTGCATTGGCTTGAGTACGTTATGTATGAACACTTCTTACGTATGAACTTCAAGATGAAAGATTATATATATATATATACAGTTAAACAAGTACACTTCAAACAATAAACGCTATCATAAATTAATAAGTAGCCAATTTTTTATAACTCTGTATCAATTTAAGTTAAGAAATTGACTATTAAAAGTACATTAATGACGCTTTTGAGCTTTACTGATTAAATGTCCCAGACTCAAATTGTCTAGTAAATTTCAAACAAGACAACAATTGTCTAACAAGAGGTATGCAGGAAGGCATATGTATGTATATTAATTCCAGTCTTAATTAAATTTTTCTAATAATCTTGGATTAATTTTAAAAATATAAAAGTAATAATTAAATTTTCGAATGCATCATTTGATAAAATTACAATTACGTACTGTTAACACTTTAAAAATTTCATATAGCAAAATTTCAAAGAATTTCTTAATTAATTGGTAATTAAAATTGCTGACATAATACTAAAACAAATGACTTGAAATAATTTTTGTTAAAATACTTATTATTCACGGTCATTGATAAAACCTATATTATGAAAAATATTTGTTTTGGTAATTACCAAAAAAAGCCACTTATTGATTTAAAAAATTAAAATTACCGCTTATTAATTTATTTCATCTAAATTTTAAATTAAAATCTTTAAGCATAGTTTTAATACAAAACACTGTAAATTAAATAAATAAATTACATTTAATGACAATAAATTTAAAAAAATTAGGAAATGTTTTAATTTTAAGAAAGGTTTCTTTGTTTTTGTTTGTAAAATAAAAATTCACCCGAAATAAAATGCTTTTGAAAACAAAATTTTTCATTATAGATGACAGTAAAACCCAGACATATTTAACTCTAATATTTTTCAAAAAAAAAAAATGCACAAACGAAATTGATATGAATTATTCGCCATTTTATTTAATAATTTAGCATAACATTTTTAATTATTAAAAATGTCATTATATACGTGACCTCATTACTTGATTAAAATGTCAAATGCTTACTAATATCTAAGATTATAACCATATTTTTCTAAGCTATAGGATTTAACTTACCGAAATAAAAATACATACAATAATTTTTCGTTTATTTACTGTAATTAATTAAAAAAAAAATCCAACTGGTTACAATATTTCTATTATTTTTACAATTTTCCATAAAGGAAATGAAAATTTGAAATACCTGCATAAGAAAGTGAAAACAACACTTTTACTTTCTCTCTTTCTTCTAATGTCACTGTAGGTGTATATAAATTTGATCATATTTTCAATACATTTATATACACAAATATATTAAGAAGGAAGTATAATATTGATGAAGCTTTAAATTTTCTTCTGAATTTCCCACTACATTACTTTCTAGCAAAATACACTCAAAAAAAATTTTTATGTCTCCTAATATATGTAAACAAAATTCATTGTATATGTATACGTTGAATAATTTTAAATTACATATTGAGATTCAATAAAATATTTTGATAACGTTATGGATTAATGAACGGATTCAATTGAATGAAGAATGACGAAGGTTATAATAAAATGTAATAATATTTTCTTTACAAGGTCAATCAAATATAAAAATATAAGTGATATTTGCTCGTCTACATTATAGCCTTACATTTTCATTAATATTCAATAAAATAATTATTATTTATGGATTTCTTTTTTTTGGTTTTTGTTTCAAGCACTATTATGCATGTACTTATTAAAATTCAAACCATTGTACCCATTATTTTATATGAAGATATCAAATATTTTATTAATTTATTGATATTATATGTAGATAATATGCATACAATTTTCATCAGATCCAAGATTTAAACAAATTGAACAGGTTTATAATGATATTATGCTTCTTCTTAAAAAACAAGATCATAATTGGTTTATATATAGTCATTTGTTATAGACAAAAGACATTTTAATAATAAGTTCATCATAAGTTCATTACAACGCAAGGTCGTTTGAAATTTGATTATTATAATTAATTTTAATATTTTTAAACTGCAAATGCAATATATATTTAAAAAGAAGAGGAAAAAACATTGTAGATGAATAGTAACTATAATGTAACATAAAATTTTTGGAAAAAAAATTTTGAAGTAAAATGTTTTGATTAATTTGATGAGGATAGATGGCGCTTCTTATGATGGCGCTTCAGGAAAAACAATATATGTTGTATTTTAGAAAATTATTTTTCAAATTTGTATTAACATTTTTAATATACACATTTATTAATCATATACGTCAAATTATAAAATTCTATATATAGCGTATCTTCGGAATTGTATATACGACGCGTCAGACACATTGTGTCATCTTCTGAAATATTACCAAAAAAATTTGACGATGCTTTATGTTCAGAATGTATTTAGTGTTGGGTCTGCGAGATGTTGTAACACTAAAATATTTGTTAAATTGTGTATCCAAAATTTTTTCGATGAATATGTGTTACTTCTGATGCATATGTATATGTATATAGATGAAAATACTTTTCCATTGTATTGAAAAAAGTTTCCTTACAATAGCTAAATCTAACCTGAAAATTCACGTTAAAAAGATACCGAAAATTGTCAATTTCCAGAAGGAAAATAAATTAAACGTACTAAGTCATTATAGACCTATGACGTTTTGATTGTACATAATTATAAGAATTAACAGAGAATTGCAATATTCGCGGCAAAATTATTTTATAACCACAAATTACACGTATGTGCGTAAACCTGCTGCCCACTATTCAAAATATAATTATTAGTTCTTGATTTAAATTTTAATTTTTTCATTTTTGTTTTAAAAATTAATTTGCCTATTTGTAATGTGAAAAATTCTGTACATTTTTTTTTGTTTTCATCAGAAGCACAGAATAATTAATCAATTATTTTTGCTTTGAAAATATTTTATAATAACAGATAATTAAAAATACAATGAACTGGTACAATAATTTAATTAATTGGAGCAGAAAATTAAGTGTATAAGTATTTTTTTTGTCAATGATTTTTTCAACAATCTAGTTTAACAATTTAATTTTCAACATAAATACCATAAATTTATTAATTTTATACGTTCTGTATTAGTGTATGTTTATTATTTTAATAAAAGAGCAAATTTTGCACAAAATTTAAATAACTGTAAATTTATCGAGAAATTTGAATAGTTTTCATTATAATATCATTTGTCAAGATATCGTCATTTGTCTTAACAATACATCAAGTTTTTCTCAACAATTTGAGAATTTAATGAAATTGGAATTAGTTACATGACCCCGAAATTTTAATCCTTTCTTCTTCTTAATGTCATACAGTGCATTTTCAGTCATGATTTGACATTTTAATCTTAAATACGAAATTGAAATTCAGCTATTTCGTTATCAAATTCAAAATTTATTTCTGAAGCAATAAAAACAAAAACAAGTTTATAACCCAAAATGAAATTTTGAGCAAAATATAACAAGTTTTTTTTTATCTAGTTTTATGCAATTCTTCATTTATATTAGTTGCAGACAATTTATGAAATTGCAATGCAATCACAGACATGCATTAATTCATCTATAATAAATTTTGATTTACGATTTACATTTTTTCTGTTTTGATGATTTTATTAATATATGAAACATCGCTTTTGCAATAGAAAACTTAACAATTTTAATATATATATGTATGAGCGCATATAAAAACTTAGGTGTTGTTTACACATACGAGAAAATTTGAGATTTAATCTGAATCTAATGATAGTCGTATATGAAAACATTGTTTGACATCATGTATTTTGTCTGACGGTAAATAATAGAAATTACTCTATTATCATCACATTTTACTGACTGATTTTCTGAGAGCAAATAAATTTACAGTTTAATCTTATTGTCAGAGAGTGATTAATTTTGACGTATAGTTTAAGCTCAATCACATTTAATATTTTTCAATACAATTCAATATTAATTAAACAAGTATTTACATATAAAATGACTAGGTATGTATTAACATACAGCCAAACTGGTTCGCAGAGGCACAAACTAAATAGAAAACGAAATAACTACATATTTCTCCAAATTATTGAAGTTATTAAACTATCTTGATTCGATTATAAAAAAATAATTTTATTTCACACAATGTCACAACTATTACTTAAAAATTAAATTTTACAATTACTTAAATTCGAATTGATAGTTTAATTATAATATTCTATTCTTATTAACACCAATTTTAGACTAAATCATATCTTAAAATCTAACAGTATTTATAGTAATTAAAATTAAGTTCATTTCCGGCCTCGTGCAAAATTATAGACGTTTCGTCAGCATTTTTGATGGGAACGATAATTTCGTAATTTCTTCATGTTTAAACATGTTCGATTGCAGACGCTGTGTCAGCAATTTTCATGTGAACAGAAATTAGTATCGTACTGAAGATGTAATTTGATACTTGAATATGTAACTAAAGACGGTGATAACTCCTCCCCCTTCAAAGATCTGCGTCCCGTAGATCAAGCTGGAATTTTGGTGCTTCTATGACTGAAATTTGCGGAATCTCTATAGTAGGAACCACTGTTGGAGTGCGTTTTCTCACAACCTTGCTGATGTTTTTCTTGATGACCCAAATGATGATGACTGCAATGATGACGAGTCCTATAGTAATATCGGATGCTATAGAGAGTTGGCTCCTTGGTATTAGCTTCTGAAGTTGTTTTGTGTTGCTGATATGAAGATCGTGAATGTAGTCGAGGCTTAGCTTGATATCTCCTTCTTTTAAATTTTCTTGAAGAACAGGTGGTAAAACTTGCGACGTGGTGGCAGATTCGCTTGTAAATTTCTGACCTTTTATGTGAACGGTTTCGTTGGTATGCTGTATCATAAAGCTTCCAGTTAAGTGTTTGCTCGTGTTGCCACTTGTTAGCTCCCCATTGAAATTATTGAGAAAGATGATATTTTCACTTATGGTTTCTATGATTTCTTCCTTATTGTATTGAAGGCTGCAACTGGCGTTTATTCCCTTTAGCAGTTGATACATACAGTGTCCTTCGTCCAGTTGAACGTATCTTGAATGGTTTTGTTGTTGGTTTGGCATTTGTCGCGATCTCTTCTCTTACAAAATTTTTATTAGCTCCTGTGTCGACTAGAAATTTTAGGAGCTGGTTGTTTTTTGTCTTGAATTCTAAGTAAGGAACGCTTGAAAGGCGTCCGTCATAAAATTTACTTCTTGAACCCCATCATCTGCATATGCTGGTTCTTCGTCATATTCGCTGCATTCTTCTGGGTGGTCATCTACGTCGTCTTCAAGTGTTTCCATATTGAATAGCCTTTGGTGCTTATTGCTAGGCATGTTGCCTACTGATGGTGGCCTCTTGTATATTCCCCTGTAGTTGTCTGGCCGGTTCATATAATTAACCTGACGTGTTTGTATGGATCGGTCAACGTCCATCTTCTCTAACGGTTTTGGCGGTCTAGGTGGAGGTTGCGATTCTCTCTGATGTTGAATGTTGTAAGCCAAGTTCCGTTGTTCCACTGTTAATGGCTGTTCTGGTTGATACGACCTTGGGTTCCCAGCACTTGGTTGTTGTCGTTTCATGGACATTTTGTTGAATGGTACAGTGATTCTGTTGTTATCATTCCTGTTGTGTATAGCGAAGTTTCGGCAACTATAGTTCTGGAGCTCTAGACACGTTGAATATGCTTCTGGCAGAGTTGACGGTTTCTGAAGCATCAAGTACCTGGACAATTCCCCATTGAGCCCTCGGATAAATACGTCCAGTGCTCTGTTTCTTTGTGATTCTATCAGTACGTCTATAGTTTCTTTTGTATAATTCTCGGTCTTGATCTTATTGATTATGAGGGAGAATTGATGGTTGACTCTGGCGTAGAATTCATCTATGGTTGATCTTCCCTGTGTCAGTGTGCTCATTTGGTGCTCCAATGTGCGTATGTCCCGTTTGTCGGCATAATGCAGGGACAAACACTGCTTGATTGCGGCCCATTCTTCGTCGAACAGGTTGTACGATATTAGAGCTGCATCTGCTCTACCTCTAATTTTTCCTCTAATAGCTTGTAATATTGCTCTGTATATGGGTTTGTTTCTGACAACTTCGTAATCTCGTAGAATTGATTCTACGCTGTGCACCCATGATACATACTGCACTGCATCGCCATCAAAGGTTTGTAAATCTTTGACACAGTCCGGAAGTCTCGATATTTGTTTCAGGTCGTCTTCACTTTTCGGTGCTGCCAAATTTGTTACCTGCGGTTGTGGTGTATTGAACTGAGCCTCTAGTTTTGCTAGGCGAATTTCAAACCGTTTGCTTTGTTCAATTTGAGCATTGATGGCTCCATTTAATTTTTTGAGCTCTTCCATTATTTGTTCCATTTTTAACTTTTTATTAAGGTAATTTCACTAATTAAATTATTCTATTACGCGGTTTTAAACTTTTAAATTATATTTTTCTTTCAAATTTTGTCGACTAATTTCAAATTTTTTGTTAAATTTAAGTTTTTAGTTGGTTAATCTTATTAATTTTTCACTGGTTTTATTTAAATTTCTGATTACTTTTGTTTTATTTTTTAATTAAATATTTCTTGGTAATATAAAATTTAATTGGTTAATCTTATTAATTTTTTACTGGTTTCATTTAAATTTTTAATTACTTTTGTTTTATTTTTGTATTAAATATTTATTGGTTAAATTTTAATTTTTCAATTTATTATCGGTTAATTGATTAATTTTTCAAATTTTCAATTTAATTTTCATTTATCACTTCAATTTTTTTAAATCTTAATTTTTTTAAAATTAGCGAAGCTTCTATATTTTTAAAGCTTATTCAGTGAGATGCAGTTAGTTTCCCTCAGTTAAGTTTTTAAGATTAAGTGTAATGAAAAACTACTTACAGGAAAAAAACGTAATTCATCTGTTTGAGTCTTGGTGAGTAATGCGAATAGCGGTTGAGTTGTGTTTGTCCTTTTTAGACGTGAACTTTTATTCTCGTAAACGTCCTACTGCGGCACAATCTTCAACACTTTTTTGTAAGTACGGTTTGCTTCAGTTCCTTTTTCTTTTTATTTCACTTCGGATTTCCACAATACGCGCACTATAGTTGGGTACACTTTTATCGCGATATGCTTATTTTTCTTCTTTTCTTTTAAAATTTAACGAAGAGTTTTGCGATTTCACGATTCAAGTCACGTTGGGCGCCAGTTATTAAACTATCTTGATTCGATTATAAAAAAATAATTTTATTTCACACAATGTCACAACTATTACTTAAAAATTAAATTTTACAATTACTTAAATTCGAATTGATAGTTTAATTATAATATTCTATTCTTATTAACACCAATTTTAGACTAAATCATATCTTAAAATCTAACAGTATTTATAGTAATTAAAATTAAGTTCATTTCCGGCCTCGTGCAAAATTATAGACGTTTCGTCAGCATTTTTGATGGGAACGATAATTTCGTAATTTCTTCATGTTTAAACATGTTCGATTGCAGACGCTGTGTCAGCAATTTTCATGTGAACAGAAATTAGTATCGTACTGAAGATGTAATTTGATACCACTTGAATATGTAACTAAAGACGGTGATAACTTTGATTATACTATATAATAATACTACTTACATAATATTTGTAATATTTGTAATTAATCATCCACAAGCATAAAATAATATGAAGGCTAATGATATTAATAAATTCAAAATAATTGAACTTATACGGACGAGAACGGCTGGTTACCTTATATTTAATATTTATAAAATATTATTCATATTTATAATTTCAAAATTCCGTATGTTGTTAGTGACTTACTTGTATGTATATTTTATTCAAAACAACTATCAAAAGTTAAAAAATTTTTGTAAAATTTAATATTGTAATATCAAAAATACAACATTAAAAAAATATAGTTAAAAAAAACCAGTGTTACAAGATTTTTATGAAAAAAAAAACATATACTTGGTTCCTCAACACTTACATTAATTTTATTGTAAATATATAAAAATGAAGTATATAGACTTTAAGTGAAATCTAAATAAATATATATATATATTTTTTATATTTCCACATATATATTTTTAGGACTCAAAAAGTCAAGGATTAGATCGTGAAAAGAGGAAATTACCGGAAGCAACATTTGCTGGAAAAAATGCTGTTTTAGGTTTCGTTTTTGGTGTAAGTATAAAAACGGAATAAAAATTTTTTTCTTTATGAATTTACTCGAAATCAGTGAATTACACACACTTACATAAACTATGAAAATTTTTGCTTTTTTTCTTGAATTTTGTGCTTTTCTTCTTATAAAACTTATTTACATACATAATTTTCTTTTTAAAATATTTATAGGTACATTTATACTGAAGTTTTTAATTCCTCTTACTTCATCATATCTAAACACTTTTTAGAATTACTTCTTCATATGCACACATTTATGCATAATATTACTGCAGTTACTTACATATTTCATATACATTTTATTATGATTATTCATTTGATTGTCATACGTTAGTATGTTATTATTCCACCGTCAAAATTTTCTTTGCTTTGTAATTATGACGTATTGAGTATGATAATATTGTCAATCATAAAATTATTAACTTGATTTATGTCAAATTTATAAAATTTTACATACAGCATCATTAATTAAGCGAAAATCATATTAAATTTAATTTTCAAGATTCGTTGTGGGTATATCAAAAATTTAGAAATCACTAATTATATCACAAGAAAGCAAGATTTATTAAAAATTCATTTTTTGATATCAAGTTTTTCATTTGATACAAAAACGTGTGAACTACTTTCGAATAGAATTAGAACGACTTTCATGTATAAAATTATAAAATATTTTAAAATTATATTTTATTTATTTTCGAAAATTTCAATTTGCAATAAATTATCAAATTAAATATGTAGTCGCTAATTAAAAAAAAAATATTGAAGTTTAACCCTCGTTAAAGCCGTTTCTATGACAGGAGCCCATCTTATAATTAAATAAAATTAATTAATCTTCTGATATTGTAATTTGAGTATCGAACAATATAAAAATATTCTCAAAAGATATTCGGGAACGTTCAAAAACTGAATAAATTTGGATTTAACTAAAAATGAAATTTTTTGTGCATAGTTACATAATAAAGGAAAAATTGTTAAATTTTGAATGCCGTAATGGGAATTTTTGGAAATTCAATTATTATACAGTAAATTTTCTATACTTTCTTGAAAACGGGCACATCATTTTTTTTATATAAAATTTTATTTTACATAAATGAAAAATTGTTAATTTTTTTAGTTATTTTCAATCGAAATTTTTTCTGGCACATATAAAATTAAGCTTATTGATCTATATTGTTAAAGGGAAAATTAAATTATTTTGCTCACAATATTTTCCTTTAGCACACCTACACCAAATTCATTTTCATGCTTGCAATTATGGTTTTTTTTTTTGTAGTTACACGCTTATTTTATAAAACATTTTTTTTACAACACAAACGTATGATGAATTCGAAATTAAAGTGTCTATACTGTTATATAGCAGAATAAAATTCAAATTAATTTTTTTCTTTTTAAAGTGTTTGTAAAGTGAATTTTTCTAAAAAAAACGGCAACACTTTATTTTTAAATTCATCTAGAAATGTTTATCATATTTAACCCTTCAGTCCTAAGTTTAAATTGTCATTGTATTTCTGACAATTTTAAAGTTATGACAATGAAGATTACTGGTAAACACATTCATACATAAACATTTTCCATCACTCTACATTAATTACACAAATATCCGATTATAACTAATAAGGTGAGTTGTGCATTAATGTAGCATTACTACAATTTTTAAGTCAGGATTTCTCTATATTTCAAACTTTTAATATCTCAAAATAATTTTTTTTTCCTTATTCTATTTTACACTTACAAACACTATTTTATTTCTATCCTTCACATATTTTAACATTTGTATATTTAAAATCTTAATTATTTAAATTATGAAAATTTATATAAAATATAAAAAAATAAAATAAATATATATGAATGAAAAAAAAAAAAAAACTGAAATTTTGTAAAACAGAAAATCGACAGTGTTCTCGATAAAAAAATTCGATTCCTCAATCAATTAGACAAAACCAATGTACAAAAGAATGCCCAATACAATATTGTTGTACCAAAACCAATAAATAATTTACAAGGATTGATTACAGCTGTTGTATCACCAAAAATTCAAGGTATCGGAAGTTTAGTTAGTGATCTTACAACCGGTGTTTTAGGTGGTTTAACAAGTTTAAGTGGATCATCATCAGGTGGCGGTAATGGTAATGCCGGTTTAGGTAATGTTGTATCAAAAGTAATTGGATTATCTGGACCATTATTATCGGGTTCATCTGGCGGTTCAACAACTGAAGCACCTGGTACATCTGATGAATCTGGATATTAAAAATAAAATAATTATATATATATATACATACATATATATTAATTATATATTATATAATTGAATAGTTGCATTTTTGTATTTAAAAATTATTATTGAAAAAAAGAAAGCAAAAAACAATATTTTTAAGAAAAATATTTAAAAGAAAAAATTTAATAAATTTGTTTTTTGTTTTTGTTTTTTAATATAATTTCGTTCCTTAAAGAATTTTCTTTTGAAAAAAATTCTGCATCAAAAATTTTAAATAAAAGTTTTCTTCCATTTATGGTAATATTAATTATCGCATAATGAAATTTAAAATTCCCGTATTATAAATTACCAAAAAAAAATTTCAAAAATTTCGATGATGCAGAATTTAATAATTAAAATGAAAAATTTAAATATAAAAATCTCAATTTTATATAAAAAATCTCAAAAATTTATAAACAAAAGAATTGGAAGGAAAACTTTTTTTTCTGCAAATAAAAAAAAAGTAGCTAATTTCAAAATTCCTTTGATATAACAAAAATAAAAATAATAATTAATTCAATATTTCATTAATCATACATACATATATATAAAATTAATTTTAAAAAATTAAAAAAAAAAAAATATTCTCATTAAACACATTTTTACCAATAATAGTTTATTATAAATTGCCCATAGTTTTTTTTTTGTTAAACGGCAACTCTTAAATAAATTTTTAATTAATTTTTCAAAATATTTTTTTTTTAAATAATATAATCTACACTATTAGTATTATTCTACTTAATTTTTTTTTTTATTTTTCTTTATTTTTACAACTAATTTTTTCAATACAATATTTAATAATTAAAAATATAATTTTTATATTTATTTAGAAAAAAAAAATCTGGTCAAAATTTATTATTTTTTTTTATGTTATGTTATAAAAATTAATATACATAAATGTATATACTCATATACAAAACTGCTAGATTTTAAGCATTAAATAAATTCTTCAGTTCCAAAATGTAATAATATCGTTAAATAAACTCAAATTCAGCTTAGACACAAATTGTCAAACATACTATAGAAAAAAAAAAAAACAAATTTCTATAACTTAAACCGTATATTACTGAAATATGGAACACATTGTTAAATATTGGAATTTTGTTAACACACTATAAATATTACATGAGTAAGAGAGATAAAAATACTATAATATTAATTTGAAATGTTTTGAAATATAAATTGGTTTTAAAATTTTTAAACTCACTTTAAATTTATATAAAAAATTTAATAAAATTTTCAAATTCATTACCAAAATATATATTTTTTTTTAGCTAAGCAATCAAAATTGCATTAAATAATCCAGTTTTTTGAAATATATATATGTATATATGCAAAAAACAAAATGCATATACAAATTTTTTTCACAATTGACGTTCAAATGTCAAGTTATGCAATTAAAAAGTTTTAAGTGCTGAAAGAACTAAATTGACGTCAGATTTGCATTTAAGTATTTGTCCAATACCTATCATAGCAAATAATATTGTACATATTTGCATACATAGACATATACATATTGAATATAGCTTCATATAATATTTAATAAATCGAAAAATATTATTTTATTGAAATTTACTATAGAATTGCCAACAATCCTTCATTTGAAACTTTCTTATAAATGCTTTTACTTTCAATAAGGCACGGTACAAAATTCCATTATGCTATATAAATAATCTATATATACTACCAACAATAAATACACCCATACTTATTTTTACACATTCGAATATATATTTAAAATTCATATGTATTCCCATATATGCTGATTTAATTGTTTCAAAATAATAAAGACCTCTTTTGATATATTTAAATATAAAATATTAATTAAAAATTAAATAGAATTTTCCTTTTAAATTAGGTGTAGAAGATGAGGACTAATTAGTTAATTATACATTTTTTTTTTGTATTTGTGGTTGATTTTGTTTTATTTTATCCTAATATTTTTGTAATTTTTTTTTCATTACTCACTGTATTTGTATAAAAATTGTAAATATTAGTTTTTAAGTTATAAAAAAAACTTTAATCGAAAAAAAAAAATTAAAAAACAAAAAGAAAGTGGATAATTGTTATATTTAAGAAATATATATATAAATATATATATGAATAATTTGTAAATTAATTTTTAATTTATAATAAAAAATATTATATTAAATGACAATTTTGTAATACCAGATGAAAATTTTGAAAAAAAAAAGAGTTAAATAAGGAAATTATTTTTAAAAAAAACTAAATCAAATTTTGTTTTATTTTTGTTTTAAAATAAGTTCCTGGAAAATGTTGAGAAAAGAGAAAAAAATGCCTTTTTCCAAATAATTTTCTGCAATTGGTTTTCAAATCTTATCTTAAGAGAAATATTCTGAAATATATAGTTATATAGAACGAGTACGGTACAATTAAATGAGATTTGACATGATATGTAAGCCACAAAGTCTAAAGAAAGAGATGCGACAATAAGAATTATAGATAAACAAATCCATGTTTCTCTAAATAATCTCTGTACTACATACAAATAAATGTATGTTTATATTTATTAAATTGAAATGTATATTATGTAAGTACTGTAAATAAATTGTAGTAGTGTAGTATATGCACATAATTCATATACACTTTTCTAATAAATAATAATGAACGTATCAAGAATATACACGCAATCGCACTTATGAAATATTGGCACAAGATAAAATATTAAACAAAGTAAATAAATTAATGATCCTTACAATAAAAAAAAATTTAATTGAAACTTTTTAGAAATAAAGTGTAAATAAAGAGAAGAGATGATGTAATGAGAGTATGAATAGTTGAAAATCACACAATCAAACTGTCTAAAAATATAACTCATAACAGAAACTGTTGAAACGTTAACATTTAACGGTTTGCTTAAATTATACTTTTTCATTATACATAGAAATTTTCTTACTGCAAATAATCACCGTCACTCAACTTAATTTTTTAAAGACAGAGTCTGTATTTACATCCAATTATAATATGTTTTCAATATTAATTTTAGTTTTACTATTATCATTCAAACTTATTATGCTGGCAAAATATTGATCAGTTATCAGTACATATACTTATTTTTTGTTTCAATTATGCCTTCTTTATATAAAATTAAGCTAACTTCTTAAGGAACTTATAAAAAATCTCTGAACCTTATTTATAGATATATTAAGTAATGACTGTTATATAAGAAATTATAAATAAAATATTGAAAATATGAATGTGTATAAACTCGAATTTTTTATGTCGATATGTCAACACCTTTAAACTATTTCTATGTCAACACAAATAATCCAAATTTCCAAATTTGGATTCCAAGTTTGGAATCCAAATTTCTTACCAAATCTTGAATAGAGTAAAAATTTACATAAAAGAGCACAGGAGAGGAAATTTCACTAAGATTATAATAGATTATATTCTTCATATGCATGGTTAAAATTCTTTGTTTACTTTATGTATTTAAAGATCTATGTATACTTACATATTATTATATCCATTAAAAATAACCTTACATACAGTTACTACGTCATACATATTACAGATAATTTATTTAAAATTCATTAATTTTCGTTTCTTTTCTTTTTTTGCAGAACTCAAGAAATAAAAGGCAAACCAAAAATAACGACAATGATGTTCCAGATCTTAGAAAAGATGGTATGGTCCAATTGGATGTTCCTGATCGACTTTTCAGTCAATCTTTCACAACTGTTACTAATTTATCAAAAGTTATTGGGAACTTTATGTTGGTAATTATAACGTTAATAATACTTTAAATTCAAAGATTATGTTTATTGATACATTTTGTGCACCTTTTGTATGCTATGTACCCGTTCAAAGTCAACAATTTTACTGCTAGTTTTCTAATACACATTCTTTTTAAGAGGTGGTACCTTTTGATATATGTTATATATTCCCTCAAAATGCACTATTAATTAAAAATTTCTACCTACAAATAGTTAAAATACCTATATATTCGAATAAAACATTTGGAACTCATTTTGGCAATAGTAAAAATACGAAAAATATATTGTAGATACATGCTAATTTTAATTATGGTATATAATTCAAATTAAGGGCCTGATCGTCTATCTCGCTATTTTCCTCGTCAAGTGAGAGGAAAGTGAGTAATTATTGTACATTTGATAGTGTAATTTTAGAGTGAGAAGAATTATTTGGTATTGCGTATCTTGGGTTTTTCTAAAATTTACACAAAATTTATTAACTTTGTTTTTGAAAGTTAGACATTTAGTCGATAATTTGAGAAAAAATGCAAAAATTCTATTGAAAAAATGAGTAATCTTATTAGAATACGAGTAATGAAATATTTATTTGAAAAACGGAAAATTCTGATTTTAAGTTTTAAAAAAAACTATCCTATGACGAATTTGTTTGACCTATATAGTTACCCACCATTTAGAAATTAACCTTGGTATTCAAAGAGAACTTATTGGTTAAAATATTATTAATTTTTTAATAAACATTTACCTTTTTCATTTTTTTTTTGATTTTAGAATTCCGCCAGACGATATGCAAAATTTGTTTATTGGTTTAAACCTCTATTCGGCAAGACGTTAACAGTTGAAGGGCATGATTATGTACCAACTACAACAACTACTACAAAAAGACCAAATTCAATTTAAAAAAAAATAGAAATTTAATTAATTAAAAATTAATCTATTTTTAAAAAATTTTGTAAAAAATCCAATAGGTGTTTGATACTTTATACAAATAAATTTTTTATATTTAAAATAATAAAAAGTTAGCAACCATTTTTTATTTTTTTTTGCGCCGGAAAATTTTATTTGTAAATTTTTGGTACTACAATATGTTGGTATACTAATTTAACATGCATACACTTATGTAATTATATATTAACATAATAAAGTCAAACAAACGCTGCGAATCCCGTACGTCGTACTCGTAAGTCGATTTATGTTATTTTTTTTTTAAAACGATATTTATACACTTATACTCGTACACATAAACATTTTGGTTATATAGTATACGACCATATGAGAATATTTGAAATTAAGGTTTTTCAATGCTACTAACGCTTTTTGAAGTTTTTCAGAATTAGAATTTTTTACACATTTTTTCATATTTTCCAAAATTTACAAAAAAAAATTATGAATAAAATATCAACTTAGGTAACGCATATATTAATAATTCCGTGACAGAAATTTTTGGTATTCTCCGCTGCAATAATTTCTACATTAACTAAATAGGAATGCGGCTTTTGACATCATAAAATATCATTGTGCATTTCATCAGTTTTTCTTTTTGGTGTCTGATTTGGGTTGAATGGGATCGTGATATTTTTGCTTCCCACATTTTTTGTGAAGATGTTGAAGAAATCTTTATCAAATCATTAAAATGAAAACTTTATTTAAAAAAATAATTATGATAATCTGTTTGGCAGCATTGTTTATGCGTTTAAATATGGTACACACATATGAATATACCTATATGTACATATATAATACTCACTATTTTTTTTTATTTTAGACACAAACCTTTTTTTTTTCAAAATTCACTTTTAATTTCAAGTTTACCAACTATTTACTATTAACCAAATTATCAATATCCTATAATATCAATTTTAAAAAATTCGAAGGATTTATTTCTTTGATAGAGTTTTACATCTTTTCTAAAAGTTTTTTCCAAAAATAATTCAGTTAAATTTAATAAATTAGCTGATTTTTCATTCCGATCATAATAAAGCTGTTTAGGATTCTAAAAAAGTTACAAAATCAAATCCGATATAAAATCTTTTAATAGGCTGCACGTTCAAACGAAAGAAATAAAAAAGCAGGTATCAGATAAAACTCCTTTATAAATAAGTCTTGAGGCTAGTCTTAAAATAATTTATTTGAAAAATAAACGTTTTATTTTTTGTTGACGTCAAAGTATTATGTCAAAATCAAGATTACTCAGTTCAAATTTAATTCTGTCCTTTGCAAGAAAAAAAATTTTAAGCATTTTATCCCTGTTCACTTTAATTTTTAAGCACGGATACATTAAATAAAAATTTAACAATTCCTTGTTTCTTACGATTTTTCACGGCAACACTATCGGCAATAGATTGACGTTTATCAAATAATTTCTATTCTTAATTTTTTCTGCCACGCCACTCTTTCCTTTTAGAAACCGGCAACTAAAATTCAGGATTTTATTTCGAAAAAAGTTTAATATTTTTAGACAAAATTCATTTAAATAATGTTAGATAAAAAATAACTTTTTTAAATTTAGCAACTCCACTACTTATATGTATATACACACATATGTTTTGTTATGTGATCAAAAATAGATAAATTCCCTTTGGTGCAGAACGTGAACAATAAAAAAAAATGTGTAGGGAAAAGTTAAAAGTGGATCCGACTCCAGTTACTGTCAAAGAAAAATTAAAAGTTAATATGGAGAAGCAAGAGTACCTGGTTAAGTTGACAATTTTGCTTCTTGCAGCAATACTTTGTAAGTGAATATAGATTTTCGGTTTATATTATGAAAAACTAACCTATTAAATTTTTTAGCCTTTTCTACAAGATTATTTTCGGTGTTAAGATTTGAGAGCGTGATTCACGAATTCGATCCATATTTTAATTATCGCACAACAAGATATTTAGCAGAACAGGGATTTTACAGTTTTCATAATTGGTTTGATGATCGAGCATGGTATCCATTAGGTCGAATAATTGGAGGCACTATATACCCTGGCTTAATGATAACTTCAGCAGCTTTGTATAGGATTATGTGGCTATTAAATGTAACAATTGATATACGAAATGTGTGCGTATTTTTAGCTCCACTTTTTTCATCTTTTACTACTATAGTGACATATTTATTAACCAAAGAAATTCATGTAATTTTGTTTAACAGTTTTACTGAATTCTGTAGATTTTCATGCTTTACATTTAATTTTTAGAGCACTGGTGCAGGTCTTGTAGCGGCAGCTATGATTTCAATAGTTCCTGGCTATATATCTAGATCAGTAGCTGGTAGTTATGACAACGAAGGAATTGCTATATTTTGTATGCTACTAACATATTACCTATGGATTAAGGCAGTAAAAACAGGTGCTATTTTTTGGTCAATTATGTCAGCTTTAGCATATTTTTATATGGTAAGTACACAAAAGTATAATATGAATAATTTCAAAATGGAAAATGAATATCTATAAATAATTGTTTTTAATTTTAGGTTTCTTCATGGGGAGGATATGTTTTCCTTATAAATTTGATTCCAATACATGTTCTGGCTTTGATGGCAACCGGACGATTTTCTCACAGAATATATGTTGCTTACAGCATTTTGTATTGCATTGGTACAATATTATCAATGCAAATATCTTTTGTCGGTTTTCAACCTATACAAAGTTCAGAGCATATGTTGGTAAGTTGCATTTTGTTCATTTGCTTCCATTTTGTATATTTGCATGATGATATTTTTATTGATAGGAAGAGTATGAAAACATATGAGTACGAAAATAAAGCTGATATTTTAAATTTTTAAATATGTAGTTCGAAAGTTTTCACTGTCAATTAACCATCTGAAATCTCATATTTTGTGTATTACAGGCCTTAGGTGTTTTTGGACTATGTCAAATAAATGCTTTTGTAGATTATGTGCGATCTCGTATGTCAAAGGATCATTTTGAGATTCTGTTCAAGACTCTGGTTTCAACTGTGTTTATTATAAGTGTTGCCATCAGCATTGTACTAACTATAACTGGAAAAATATCACCTTGGACGGGAAGATTTTATTCACTACTTGATCCTTCTTATGCGAAAAATCACATTCCAATAATAGCATCTGTCTCAGAACATCAACCAACATCATGGTCATCTTTTTATTTTGATTTACAAGTGAGTATTCCAATTTGTTTTTGAAAATATAAAAAGTTGATGATACATTTATATAAAACCAAGTGCAAGTTAAGAAAGCAAGCAGTTTTAATGTTGAATATTTTATGAATTTAAAAGAACAAGTTCAATAATAAAAATGTTTGCCACAATGAGGTGAAACACTTTGATCGCTGATTTTTAAATGTACTTTTTCTTTCTGAAATGCACACAAAATTTATTATGACGAAGAATTTTATTTCTAGATTTTGGTATTCTTGTTTCCCGCTGGGTTGTATTTTTGTTTTTCAAAATTATCTGATGCTAACATATTCATTATATTGTATGGGGTCACAAGCATTTATTTTGCTGTAAGTATTGTTTTATTGCAAGTTTTAAAGTATAGATAAATATGTATATAATTTAAGAAAACCAAGTTAATTCACAGTACTACGTAACCATTCGATATTAATAGAATGCGATTTTTAGATTTCGTTATTCAATGAAGTTCAACGAAATTTTGTCATTAAATAGGCAAACTATGAATTAACTTAAAAAAAATTTCAATGATGATATTTTTTCAAGATAGGAAGAGTATGATAAATAATGAGTACTTTTGAAATCTGATTTAAAACTATTTTAACTACTTAAGCGTTATCGCTGTTTGCATAAACATAATTAATTAATTTTAACCTATTCCTTTTGAAATTTCTAATAGGGTGTAATGGTTCGATTAATGTTAGTTCTGGCTCCAGTTATGTGCGTGTTATCCGGAATTGCTATTTCACACTTACTATCTAAGTATATTAAAAATGTTGATTCTCCATCCTCTAAAGTTGTAGAATCTAAACGAAGTCACAGAAAATTAGAACAACAAACATCAATTAAAAGGGAAGTTGCAATAGGTTTTGTGGCTATCGTTACTGTAATGTTAATAACTTACACATTTCACTGTACATGGGTTGCATCCGAAGCATATAGTTCACCATCAATTGTATTAAGTGCCAGATCGCATGATGGCGGTCGAATTATTTTTGATGATTTTAGAGAAGCTTATTACTGGCTTAAAATGAATACCCCAGAAGTAAGTTTTTTTTATATAAAAATAAAATAATAATAGATTAAGAAAAGATATCTATAGGATGCAAGAGTAATGTCTTGGTGGGATTATGGTTATCAAATCACTGCAATGGCTAATCGAACAATTTTAGTAGATAATAATACTTGGAATAATACACATATTTCAAGAGTGGGTCAAGCAATGGCATCATCTGAAGAAAAAGCTTATGAAATTATGCGTGAATTGGATGTAGATTATGTTTTAGTAATTTTCGGTGGGTTAACTGGGTATTCTTCGGACGATATAAACAAGTTTTTATGGATGGTGAGAATAGGAGGCAGTACGGATAGAGGTAATAAAAAAATTTGTGTACATTTTTATTTTATTTTCAAAATAAATTCAATTTAAAATTTTGCATTTCATTTACAGGAGCACATATTAATGAACGCAATTATTATGCACCAAATGGAGAATTCCGCGTAGATAAGGAAGGCTCTCCAACTTTACTTAATTGTCTTATGTATAAAATGTGTTATTACCGTTTTGGTCAGGTTTATACAGAAGGAGGGAAGCCTCCAGGGTATGATCGTGTAAGAGCTGCCGAAATTGGTAATAAAGATTTTGAATTAGATGTCCTTGAAGAAGCTTATACAACTGAACACTGGTTAGTCCGCATTTATAAAGTTAAAGACTTAAGGAATCGTGGCGTTTAATTAAAATATATTCTATTTAAAATGAGTATTTTTTTTTAAGGAATCTGCATTTTTTAAATATTTTTTTTTTTTATAATTATTATGGTTATGAAAATATGAAAAATACATACATATGTATGTACTTCTTTATGTGTATGTATATTTTTACATATGCATATATACATAAATTATACTTGCAAAATATTTTTTTAACAAATTATTTCAGAAACTAATGCGCGTGTAAAATATTAATATAAAAATATGTAAAATAAGATTGTTTATTATTTTTTATAACTTTAATTTTAAAATAGAAATTATCAAGGTCTTTTGCTTTGAATTTAAATAGAAAGTATATGTTGAAACTTTTAGTAGAATAAACGAACAAATAAGATGAACAATTTCCTAAAGTGCAAGCAATTAGCAAAATAATATGAACATTTTTAATACATATTTGTAATAATATTTTTAAGTTTAATATAAGGAAAATTAAAGGAAAAAAATAAACATGAACATTAATAATAATACTACTAATTTTAAAACTTATTTTTTTTTTATGTTTATTTTTATATTTTTTATAGCAAATAATTCATTCAGTTTTTAAATACCTAATAAAAGAAGTGAAATTAAGAACAGTCTTTCAAAATATTTTGGCTTTAATTAAATAATATCAGATTTAAAGATTACTAAAATGATAATTGACTTAAACGGTAGATAAAAGGTAAGTAGAAAGGATTATTGAAAATTTAGTTCTAACTTAGATCTTAATATAAAGTATGTTCAATAAATCATAGCTAAGAATCTTCAAATATAGCATGTCGAATAACTCTGTATAAAGCAAGCACGTTCAAAAATCATAGCTTGCTTGAAGATCTAAGGCATTTTAAAAGATATTTTTTAAACATATATAGATATATAAAGATATAACATAGAAAAATCTGATGCAACTCATAGTAGGTCTATAATGATGTCCTAGTACATCTGTAATTATACAAAAAGTTTTGTAATATTAAATTAGAAGATTAAGTGCATATCTGAATTGTCGAAAATCACCGTATTATGCGAAATCTAATATTGCAAAGAGAATTTTTGATAAAAAAAGAAATTATATATGAAGGTACTATTTAAAAAAAATAATTTAATTGAAATTTTATTATAAACATCACTATAATTATTATCACTTCAAGTTTTTGGTTACAAAAATTTAATTACATCAAAATATATTCATTACATTGCATTAAAAAAATTCAGAGATGAAAATAAAAATATATATATGTAATTTAAAACAAAAAGTTACAAAATAAAAAAAACTAGATCCAAAATAATTTAAAAACTAAAAAATTCCATAAACTTTTGAATAGCAAAGATTAGTAAAATGTCGAGACTTAGTTTTTTTGATTTTGTTTGAAAACTTCACGTTGAGCTTCCCTAAATGCTCTCTTTTCAGATGGAGTACCCTGAAAATTTAATAAGACGTAATTTACATACATACATAATATGCAGAAATTTTAAAATTCTTTCTTCAAAATTTAAAAAGTTATTGAATTTGTGAAAGTTTCACATGTTCTACTTCCTGATTTTGGATTTTTTTCTTTATCGATATAATAAATAATAGCACTTTCTAATTCCCTAAAATGATATAATGAAACATTTCTTACCCCTACTTTTGTTCTCAATAGCGGAAGCTTGTTACAATATTGCTGGGGATTATAACTAGGTACATTATCATTACTCCAATCTTCAACAGGTTGTTCATCGATGGTTGAGTTAGGTTCATCCATATTTTCATCAAAATTTTCATTTTCTGAACTATAGGGCCGAGAGTCAATTTTATATTTATACAAATCAAAACTCGCCCTGTCTGGGCAAATTTCAACATGATACTGTAAGTAAAATATTCAACATTTATGTAAATTATGTTTAAAATCCAAAATTAACTTACACTAAATTCTTTTTTGTTTATTAAATGAGTAGTGTTAAATGGACACGTACTCTTTTCTTGATTTGGATACGATTTTCTGCATTGTATTAGATGCTAAAAAAAAGTAAATGCATATTGAGTAAAATAATTTATGCAGATAAACTAAGCTACTTTTTGAATCCTTGTTTTTAAAATTAGATGGGATTTATTGTACGGACATTCAACAACTTCATTGTAACCACATTTTTTTAAAGCTTCCATTTTTTTTATGCCAAGATTCAAGGCACTTAAAAAAAATATGCTTATCTAGTAAAAATCTTGAGTAGATATACTTTAGTAAAAATGTTAGCCACAATAAAACCAGACGTAACTAATTAATAATGTAACTAAAAAGAGAGCAAACTTAAGTTGAATTGTATTGAATTTGAATAGAATGCAATTAAAAATATTTATGTATGTATATATACATACGTATATACATATAAATACGTAGCACGAGTACACAAAACGCTAGCAAATAAAATAAAATTTGTATTCAGGTACATTTGCATGATATTCAACAAAACGGGACTGCACATAAACAGCATTGCCAAATAGAAAATGCAAATTTAGCCGAAAATAGATCGAAATTACCCGATTTTTATAAACATTTTCTGTTAATTCTAATGCGTCTATCAAAAAATTTTTAAACATATTGAATTGATAATTTCGTTGACCAACCATTTGAAGGTTGAAGATTTATTAAAGTTTAAGTTTAAATAAACTTTAGTAGCTAAACTTAATAGATACATATATTGATCAACATGCTTTGAATGTTTTTAAGGACCAAGTTGAATTTTGGATGGCCAACATAAGTCAACATTGAAATACTAAAATTTATGAATTTTAAACATAAATGTATAGTAATACGAATAGAAGGAGCTTCTTAAAAACTGAATATGTATGAACAATTTTTTACTTACTTAGAAATATAAAATTTGGTTCTTAGAAGAAGCGCAGTTTCGGTGCTCCAATTCCCTTAAAATGGTTCTGAATTCTTTGACAATCAGAACACAAAAATTGAATTTCGAGAAACTCTAACAAATAGCTAGTGTTTATTACATGGCACAAAATGTAAAATTGACCATAGTGAAAGTCCCGTATTCAAGCAAAATTGAAGAACATTTTATCACATGCTCCGTTAAGTGCAATGCGGTTAGTAAAATTTGAGTGACCGAAAAAGCTAAGTACAGTTTGAGGTTTGAAGCACATATGTATGTACATTGGTACATAATTATAATATTAAATTGGTATCTAGTAGGAGTGTTGATGTTGCCTTCACGCTTCATCTTACAAATCTCGAATGTAGGATACAGTTATACAAGTATAACTATACATACTTGTATAGTACATATGTATGTACATATTTTATCTGTGGCTTGCCTATAAATCTTAACATTAACAGACCAAAAGATCTAATGCGTTACTCATAATAATTTTGCTATACAGATTTCGAAAACTGAGACACACTTGTGAATTATTTGTTCATAAAAATTAAAACATTTTTGTCATGTTTAAATGGTGACCTGTAAAGCTTTTCCTTAGATATATATTTTCACATATGAATTTTGATAAAATAAAGTGCGTATAGTTTGAAAATTAAATAAAAATTTATTGAGACATGTTAAACAATTTTAATTTACATGCATAGTAACATTTAGATTTAAAAATAAATTAAAAAAAAGTATTTTTTATTGTAATGGTTTTTTAGCAATCAAAATTAGAATGTTTAACATTTTAATATATACAATATTATTCTATTGGGAAATCAAGAAGGAATTGTTATGATTTCTTAGTTGAACAATCCACTTTGTATTGTATTCAGCCTTTTTTTGTCCGTATTTTTCAATAATCGTGTTATGTTTACTATTCTTGTTGAGATATTTCAAATGTTTTCTTTTGATAAAACGATACTAAATATAATTATTCAACTTATTCGCTTTTAATAGTTTTAGCTTTTGATTTGTCTTCTTCTTTCTCATCATTTTCCTGAATTTCCTCTTTAAGATCATCCAGTTCATTGTAATTATTTTTTGCTGCTTTAGTGCTTTCTCGAGACCCTTTATTTGGAGGATAAATAAAATCGACTAGGCATACCAAAAAGAGACCTAATATTGCTCCAATAAATATTGTTACTATAGCAAAAATAACGTATGCTGCCCATGTTGGTAAACCATAAGTTTCATGTATTTGGGTATTAACATCTTTTAAAAAATGAGATATTTTAAAAATGAATGATAAAACTGACATTTGAATTGAATCAGGCCGCTTCCAATATGGAAGTTGTTCCATATTCTCCCACAATTTCTTTCTAATAAAATTTATTAATGACTCTTCATCTCTTGGTCCTCTGTATTGACGAAATTCTCCATTTTTCACATGATAAATTGTAGGCAAAGCTGTTATAAAAAATCTACCACTTAATGATGGTGATTTTGTAACATCTATTTTACCCACACGAATATTTTCTTGTGAAGCTTTTTGTGCAAATTTTTCCCAAACGGGTTCTAAACTTTTGCACGCTGGACACCATGGTGCAAAAAATTCAATCATCCATTCTCCATCGAATATTTCACGCCATGTATCATCGTCTAATTCTTTAGCTCGATGAATATCTTTACTGCTTTTTGTATTAACAACCTGACATGTTACGTAAAAGCTAAAATTTATAAATACTATAAATGCAAATAACTTCATTTTAACGTAATTAGTTTTATATAATTTTTTTGTAATTATTAGCGAATCTAATATAGTTAAATTATATTATAGAGATCAATAGATTGTCGTTTTTGTGATGTGTTTACAATCAAAAAACTCTTTTGCATAGTAAAATAATCTTAAAGCAGTGAAGTTTTGCTTCTCAGAAACCTAAAACAAAAATAATAATCAATTTAATAATTTTTATCAAATTACAAATTATTTTACTAATAATTTTTTTATAAATTTTTATTTTGTCGGCAAAAAGTCACGTTTAAACACTGCAAAACATGTAATTCTATTATTTTCATTGCATTGAATGTCTCAATACATCTAAGAAAATTTAAAAGACCATTGTACTGCTTTTTGCAATTTATATTTTTGAGACACTAGTAATTTATTGATACTTGGTTTTTCTTCCAATATTTGACATAAGTGACAGTTTAATTAGTAACATAGCTGTTTTAATCTTTTTATAAACTATGTTAACCGAAGCAGAACATATTATAGATCTGGTGTGAATACCAAAACTAATGTTGAATTTTGGTATTTTAAATTAAGTCATAAAACGAAAAAAGTGTCTTTCAAAAAATACATAATTTTTATTCTAATTAAAAATTTGTTTCTCACTTGTTCTATTATAACCAAATTATAAAATGCATATGAATTTACTTAACGCCATTCAATACCCTGTCTATTTCTCCTCCTACACTTTCGGCATATTGTTTACAATTGTTTAAATCTTGCACATGGATTTTAAAAATTTTATTTACGCAGTTTGCAAACAATATTTTACATTAATTCAATGATAAACAACGTTTTATGTTTAAATATTTACCTTTAATTGTTTTTACAATTGCAGACTCTTAATTTGTTCATAAAAAAAAATTTAACTTTACAAATTTTATAGAACCTTGAACATGACAAATCCACTAGGGCGCTGAACTATAAGAAATGTCTTTGTTTTAACACCTCTTCCTCTAGTATTACCAATGTTTTTTAACAAAATACATAAATGTCACTTTCTTGCTGAAATTCAAAAAAGTTTAGTTTATGTGTTTCATTTGTGCCTAAAAATAATCCACGTACACGGAGAAAGAATAACGTTGCAGTTTCTTGGTTTCGCGAATAACTGACGTATGTATTTTGTATAAAATTTAAAATTTTAACATTCTTTTTAATTTTAGTGCAGCAACTCTTTTTCTTCCTCTCAAAAAGTTGAATCAATGTCAATTTTAATATTAGTTTATATTTATAGTTATCTTTTTTGAGATAAAAGCTAAGTATTCGTGCCTTTTTTTATGAGTGCGGTTGGTTCAGATTGCACTCTGCCTGTGTTTGTTTTTAAAATTAGAGCTCTCAGATAACAATTTTTACTCTTTTGATTATTACTTGTTCTAAAAACGCTGGATCAAATTCAATCTTTAAGCTAAAAACAAAAAAGTACAACTGTACCAATACGATAACATGCTGTTCTTATGAAAAATGACAAACAAAGTGTAATAAAAAGAAAATCGTTACAAAGGCACAGTACACTAAAAGCAAAATTGACGTCTTAAAAAAACTTTCTCTCTCAATGTACTAAATTTGATTGAACATTTTCTATACTTCCATGTCCTTTACAAATTATATTTGTTTACTAGAATATTGATTGATTTAAAATTTAGCCCTTTTTTTAAATTTATCTCATAAATTTCTAAGAACATGATGTCTCCCGATTACGTATACAAAGTAAAAATTGAATTTAAATTTGTTAGCCGAATTTATATAAGTTTAAGCTCAATTCAATTCTCTTGTTGTTAAAATCTGCTAAAAAATTTGTTTTAATTCTGAACGCGTCCACAGACAGGGTCTGCTTTATCTCATAATTTTATGATGTCAATATGACGTTTTTTTATTTACGTTTCCGAATGGGAAAAATTCTATCCTATCAAATTTGAAAGATTTGTTGGAATAATATATACATAGATATTTGCTTTTATTTTTGTTGGGAACCAACGTCTTGCTTCCAAAAACGTGTCGAAAAATATCTTAATGAATTGCACAATATAAACAGAATCATAAAAATTTTAAAGCATTGTCTATCACCGTATTTGCAAATATAAAATTAAACTTCCAGAATTTTTTCTTTGACGAACAAATGGTAGACTGATAAGATGGCCTATCAAACTTTAAGACAAAGTTTTTTAGAAATTCCCGTAGTCACAAGGATTTATACATCTGCCTGTGTTGTAACTACTGTCGCTGTTGTAAGTAGAAATACTATTATTATTTTAATTTTTTATCTATATTTGCAAAAATAATAACATTTAAAACCACGTCATCGAGCTGTATGTTAAGTAATAATATTGTTATCATTTATTTTGCAGCATTTAGAGTTAATATCACCATTACAATTATATTTTCATCCAACACTAATTGTTAGAAATTTACAACTATGGCGAATGGTGACAGCATTTTTGTTCTTTGGTTCCATAGGATTTAGTTTTTTCTTTAATATGATATTTACATATCGTTATTGCCGAATGTTAGAAGAGGGCTCGTTTAGAGGCCGTAGCGCTGATTTTGTTATGATGTTTTTATTTGGAGGCTTTTTAATGATTATAATGGCATTTTTCATTAATTTATTTTTTTTGGGTCAAGCTTTTACAATAATGTTAGTATATGTGTGGGCAAGACGTAATCCTTTTGTTAGATTAAACTTTTTTGGACTACTGAATTTCCATGTAAGTTAAATAAGATGTTTATTATATGTATATGGATTTATGATAATTAAAATAATTTATTTTTAGGCTCCATTTTTGCCTTGGGTACTCCTAGGTTTTTCAATGATACTTGGAAACGCAATTTGGGTTGATTTAATAGGGATGGGTGTTGGACATGTATATTACTTTTTGGAAGATGTATTCCCAAACCAAAGAAATGGTTGTAAATTGCTACGTACTCCGAATTTTCTGTAAGTTTTTTAAATTTCATTTTCTATTTTGAAGCTAGATTTTGAAATTTTTATCGTAATTTCTTTGATATTGTTTTTGCTATTTCACTTTAAATCTTAATTTTATCAAAAGTACTTTTCTTATGAAGAAACTATTGATTAAACAAAATTTTTATTATTTTTCCTTACCATAAAATTAAGAGATATGTGTAAATGTTTAAATTCTGTGAAAATATTTTTATTGCAACTTTTATAAACTAAAATTTATAATGAACTTTTTTAAATACAGGAAAGTGATATTTAATGAACATATTGATAGAGAATATCAGCCTTTCCCAGAAGATAGACCCGGTGGTTTTGATTGGGGAAGAGAAGGGGAACGTTTAGGTCAACAAGAAGATAGAAATGACGAAGAAGAACGTCGGCAACAATAACCACCAATGTAATTGTAGCAATTAAAAAATAAAATGTTTTAAATTAATACATCCGCACTAAAATAGTTTTTATGAAGAATTTGGGAATAGGTATATATGCTTAACAATACCTATGTGTTGATTTCCATTAATTAAGAATTTGTATTAAACTAATTTTCTTTAATAAAGTCCTTTTTTTTTGTTTGAGAATTAAGTAAATTAAATTTTGAAAAACATCTTATGTTTAAAATAATTAATTTAAATGAAGTGTGTACTATACGTGAAATAAATTTTAAATCAAGAATTAAAATAACCAAAAAATAACTCAAAAATGAAAATGTAAATTTATTTAATTTTTAGATACTTAAGCTATTTGTTTTAAAATTTTTAATATTAAATAAGAATAATATTGGATAACACGGTATCTAAATGTATTTGTTTATTTGCAATTTAATATGATTAATTAATAAGATATCAAAGATTCTAAACAATATTGATATTCTTCTTTTTTGCTATATATATATGACGCGAAAAGTTTTATTTTACCAATTAAACGCTTTAATTATGCTGTAAAAAAAAAATTTTATGTACAGTTTTCTTAGTATTACTCTTCGAGCAGCAAATATTTTTGCAATCTTTCAGCCTAAAATCGTTATCTCCCATTTAAAATTGATTTTTAAATACATATTTAAGATTTTGATTTTGAATTTGCAGAGAATAATATCAATTAAATGAATACTTATCTGGAATCAATTTTGGTTGATGTAGAAGCGGTATATGACTTCACCTTAAAATGACTCACACAGTTTTTTATTTACTATTATCCATGAAATCAATGATTATTTACATATGGTTTACACTAGCTTTAATTTTTACATATCTCTTTTTTCATAACCAATATACGATAAAATATTGTAAATTAAATTTATGTACATACATATAATTTTCTATATAAAAAAAAATTAGGAAAACTATACTAAATACGAGTAGATAAGATACGTGGCTACCTATTCCCCATGAATCATTATATACAAGGGACTAATACGGTTTATAAATCTAGTTAAAAATTTCTGTTATATATGCATATGTATGTATTTAGACTAGATTTATCATTCCATTGCAAAGCTTTATCTAATTTAAAAATCAAGTTAATCATATAAAAGCAGAGGTTTAGAGTTTTTTTCGATAATTCCGATATTTACTGAAAGTGCAGAAATTAAATATATTTATTTTTGCAGGTTTGAAATATATTCAAGTAATTCTTTAATATTCAAATTTTTTCTATTATGATCTTCTTCCAATTTATATTTTTGCAGTAGTTAAAAAACACTTAAAAATTCTTTTACAACTTTAAGCAGAAAATTAATCATTTTGGAACATGTTATTTTTACAGATTTTGCAGTTTGGATTCTTCGAACATTCTTTCTTTTAACTAAGAACTAAGTTAGAACTGAATTATCCCTTAACTGAAATTCCCTAAGTTTCCTAACATGGACAAAACTGTATTCAAATTATACAAATTTTCACAGGTTTTAAGAAGTAAGAAATAAAAATACTTTTTTTCATTTTAATTTTTTTTCAATAAAATTTTCCAGTTTTTTATTTTTATTATTTTTTATAATTTCCATTTTAACTTCTTTTTTTTTGTAGCTTTATTTAAGTTTTTGTTTTTATTCAGTTTTATTTTTCAAATCTTATTACAGATAAAAGTAACTACTATGTTTATCTATTAAACACTTTTTATTAAATCATAGCATAAATTTATAATTTTTGTTTTTTTTTTAACCATAACTGAAAAATCAGAATTTAGTTTAATCAATGCGTCCTACAGAAGTACAAAAAAAAACATCTTAAATAAGGGAACTTTTTACCATGAAAAAGCAAAAATATTTATTTTTCTTTTTGAAAAACAATTACTAAAGTTAAATAAAAGTAATGAACCTAAGATCTAAGGTATGAAAATGAATTTACATACATATCTATATATAAATCTATATATATATATATTTTAATTTATTATAATAATCATGTAGTTTATGTAGTAGATGAGTCTATGAAGTTTTTATCCTACTCTTAAATTTTATTTTTTAATGTTTTTTTTTTTTCTTTTCACGTTTTATATAACATAATAACAATGAGTTCAAAAATTTCCATTTTCTTTTTTACTTATTTTAATATTAATTTTTCTATTTCATTTATTTGTGTATACATATATATTTTCGACGTTTTCTGTTTTTCTAACATAATATAATTATGTTTTTCATATTTGTAATTATTTTTTGCATATTTTATCAAATTGCTTCTTATATTATGTGTAGATGTATGTTCGTGAATGTATGGATGTTTATTCAATACATTTAATTATTAATTACCAATAATTTTTAAAAATATATGTATTTTTAGTTTGTTTTTGTTTTATTTTACTTTATTAAACCATATATGTATATTATTTTAGTCATTTCTACATGGCGTCATGTCTACTTCAAATTACATAATATCAATTTATTAATTATAATAATTATGCGATGTAAATAAGTGATATTTTGAAATTGTTAATATTTCTTTAATTTTACAATCAAATTACTTAAATGAAAACTTAGCATGATTGAACAAATGAACTGTTATATTCTATATAATTACAATTTTATAAAATTTTGAAATGATTTCATGGAATTTCTAAGTATGAATATTTAAAAATTTTTATTAAATTTCTTTTTATGTTAATGGTATTTTTTTTAAGAAAACTGTTTACATACATATTATATAGATTTAGCACCTGAATGATTTAGAACCCTATTTTATCAAGTTTCAATTAATAATAAGTACTATTTTCAGACGTTTTGTTTTTGGTTTATTATTCAATACATATATATACATGTATATATATTTATATATACATATTATATACATAATGTGATTAAATTTAACATAATTAAAAATCTTGATAAAAGCCAGCCACATTGTAAACAGCGTTTTTATATTTATTTAAACTATCTGATATTATTTAAAAATATAAAAAGACATTTAAGCAAAGACTGAATCTTTCTGAGAAATATTGCATTACAATAATTAAAATAAAAACTAATTCAAAATAAATTGCCTGTTCAAAGAAAATTAATTCTTTATCTAATTAAATAGTATTAAAATCATATTAAATTCCTAAAAACATAATTTTATTGATTAAGAATTTGAATATTTTGTTAGGTGAATTCCTAAAAGTTAACTATTTTTCTTATTATAACATTTTGTTAGTAATACTTTTTGTTTTTCCATGAAATGAAATTGTAAATAATTTTGTGACTCTAATGCAAATGTAGAAAACGAAAAGATTTCTTTTTTTTTATGCAAATTTACGCAAGCTTTTATTTAGAAATACAACAAGAAATTAAAAATTCGGTTCATTTTAATAAACTGATTGAGTTCGGAATTTATATCAACATGCTCATCAAGTTGGTGAGCGACGTACAATTATTATTGAATTTCAGTTCAATTATTGAGAAGTGTTCAAATATAAAAATCAAAAGTTGCTTTACATAACAATTTTTATGATGTTATTTAAAATAATAGTAATAAACAAATTAATGACCACTACAATTATCTATTTGAGTAAATATTTAAAAAAATACGATAATTACATTAAAAATACTATCATGGTCTCTTAATAAAATAAAAATTTTATTTTGAATTCACAGTTTATATTTTGCAAATTAACTACAATTATTTTTTTTTGTCAAATGTGTAAAGTTGAATATCTTTTTTTTAATTTTACAAATTAATATTTCGTATTATTATAGTTCAGTTTTTCTCTAAATTGTCTATCAAATATTGAATTTACATCCAATCTGAATTGTTTTTGTTTCTTATAATTAACAATGTTTTTTAATTATTATATTGTATGGTTGATTATTGAGTCGCATTTTATTTGATCAAAAGCTCAGTGGCACTATGCATTGTAAAGCTTAATTTTATTGTAGTAAGTTTTGTAATTGAAATGAAAAATTTGTATATGTATTTACGAAAGATGCATTTACATTTTAAATTTGAAAAAAAAAAGAGAATATCTCTCCTGAATATTTATCCTGTTTTATATTTTCTTTTTTAGGGATAGAAACTACAATCACAATATGAAATGAATTGAATGGCTTATTGATTTTGGAAGAATTTTATTAATACTTTAAAAAAATAACCGTAGTAAGAAGCAGTTCCTAACTTATTCATTTTTGGCATTTTCCATGATTTGTTCTGCAATATAATGTGTTCTGTAATTATGTTAAAATCAACAATATAAATTGATTATTAACACTGTAGTGATTTTAATATCATACTTTTTAGTAATAACCATAATATCCGAATTCTATTTGATTTAATTTATTGAAAATTGTTTACTATTATATATATATATATTAAATAGCAATTTCAATTTAATATAATTGACTACCATTTCTTTTTTTTTTATTACTTGAGTTAGTGGATAAAGGACAAAAAAATCACAAATTCCAAAAATTTCAATAAAAATATTGAAGATTTTTATTAAAAAAAAAATTATAATATACACAAGTTAAATTACAGAAAAAAATTAGCACAAAGTTAATTAATTACTTCTCACAAGAGCACAAAATTTCTTAATTAATTTACAACGCATAGCGTGTAAATATCAATATCTAATAAATTTAAAGTTTTATAATAAAATATATTTAATTATATCTTATTATAATATTCTGTAAATGCACCTATTTCTTTTTTTTCTTCGTCTTTGTGTAAAGCTGCTCATATAAATCGAATCGAGGTATTCAACTTTTATTAAGTTGGTTGATAATTTAATCCTTAAAGTTAATATTAACTCTCGCAAATGAAATTTCTATATATTTTTATTCCACTGGGATTATTACTATTACTTTTCGAATAATTATCAATATTTTCATATACTAAAAAATATTAGGTAAAAAATTTACTGCCATTATGTTATAATTTTGTTGTAATTTATAATTTTACACAAAGAAAAAAAAAATCAACAGAAATTTTTTCATAAAAATTTTTCCATACAAAAAAGTTTTTTAAATGATTTTTGATAGATGGAAAAACTTTTTAATATTTCTTTATGGCTTTTCGTTTTTTGAGAGGAAAATGAAAAACTTTCAAACTTTAAAAAATGAAAATATTTCGAATAGTTTTTATTTTCGGTCTCTTCTTTTTGTTTTGTTTGGTTTAATTAGAAATTTCATTATTTTTTTTTCACATTCCTACAGTTGCAAGTACCACAGTTATATCGTCTGGTTTTCCACCTAAAATAAAATAAAATTAATAATTGATAAAATGCAATCGAATTTGGATTTAACTCCAAACAAAAAAATTCACGTTAATTTAATGTTTAAAATCTTTGATAATTATATATTTGATTAGTTTTTGAAATTATAGATAAAACTTACCAGTTGCATTTATATTATTTCGTCTAGCATTTATTGCAAATGGTGACATAAATTCACTATCGAATGATAATGAACGTGCCATTAATGCAATTGTATTCGCTGTCATCTGTAATTTAATTGGATCTGATTCCCCTTCGATCTGAAAATATAAAAAAATAAAAGTTGTAAATATTAGTATTCCTATATAAATATAAATAAAATATTTTTTAAAGCGGGTTTCTCTAAAATCTGGATTTTAGAATCTTTCAGGAATAAAAATCTTTACATTAGTATTCAAATCAAAATAATTGGGATCCAAGCACAGAAAAACACACTTGAAATACTTTTCAACTAAAGAAGACAAGAAATTTTCGTTTCAGTATAAACTATTTAAAAACTCATGCTATTTATGAAATTTTCTTAGAAATGAAATATGTTTCTGTAGCATTCAATTTTGCTCTATATTTTAAATTGTAGATTTGTACAAAATGGGTAACAGAGCATCGCGATGTGCGAGGTATGCCATACAACACCCCCTATAAGCTTACATAATTTTAATTTTAGCCAGCAACATTGGTTTCACTTAATATTAATTACCTTTCACTAATAAAAAAATTCGAACTTTATTAAATGCCATGAATATTTTAAAGTTCATTTGTATTTGATTATTATAGTAGTTGAATAGGAATGTGGGTGAATAGGAATTTTAGTCTAATATCCGATATTAAATTTTCTAATATTCTACATAGAATTTCAAAAAAAAAAAAAACAATGTAATTTTATGAGCTTGACTAAATGCTTCATTAATTCCAATTCTTTAATAAAATAACTAAAAAAATGTGGATAAATATTTATAAATATTTTTAGGAAAACAAAAAAATTTTTTTATAATTTGTATACTTAACAAATAATTGTATGGTTTTTTACCTCTTTTAATACATCTAATAGAAGCTTCTCAGGCACATTATCAAATACACCATCTGTCGCAACTAAAATAACATCACCTTCCTTAACTGGAAAACTCATAGTATCAGCTGATTCTGGACTATCACTTAATACATTATGACCATGTCCAGGTGGCGGTAAAGATAATTGAAAAGGTGTATTAAAATAATGCTGTTGTTCTTCTGATTTATGAATAATTTCACCTTGACGTACCACCATAAAACCACTGTCACCAATATTAGCAGTGTAAACAGTACTATTTTCACGATTTAATACTAAGACGCATGCTGTACTACTACCTAAAATTAAAAAAATAATAAAAATTATTAAATTAATTTTAATTTCAATAAATAATAAAAGAAAATTTATAAATTATCAATTTTTTTTAATGTAAATTTATTCTTTATTTATTAAATTTAATTATTATTTTTCATTTTTATAAGTTTTTAAAAAATTAGAATTTTAGAATTTTTATTTTGGAAAAACGGTTTAATAAACAAAACAATAAAAAATTATTAAAAAATAAAAGTAAAAGAAAATAAAAACTCAAGTATAGATAATATGGAAATATGTACATTATATGACACATATATGTCTATACTAGTATAATACATACATATGTACGAGATTTTTAAAAATTTTGGATGAAATCCAAGTCCTAGAATAGAATAAAATCGTTATATTTAATCGTTTCTTTTATATTGTTTTTAAGAATCAGACATAGAAAATTTGTATTGAAACTAAAGGCGTATAAAATATATGTATGAGAGTATAACACATTATATTTTTTAAATAAAACAAAAAAAAAACATTGGATTATTTTTAAAAATTCTCAAATTTAAAATAATAATTTTTAAAAAATTTTTGTTTTTAATATGTAAAAAAATAAAGTAGAAGGATAAAAGAAATTCCTGTATGTATTTGTAATAAATTGGCACAAGAGTTAAGATTTATGAAATAAAACATTCTATTGTCAATATTTAAATAAATTTAAGAGAAAAATTTAAAAACCTATGTAAGTACATGCAACTTATAAGAACCACATTTCATTGTGTCAAATAGTTTTTCTCTTATTTCCATTCTAACTTTCTTTCTAAGCAAAAAAAAAAATTAATTTGATGAGTCTATGCTGAACAGAAGTCCATGGAAACTTTCTACAAAAAAAAAAACAAAATTGCAAAGAAAATTTTAATAATTTGAGAGCTAAAACACCAAATTAACTTCAACAAATATTTTGGCCTCCCAATTATAATTAAGTATCATCATTAAAAATTGAACTGTCAAAAATAGTTGCCATTGTGCATTGTAATTTTTATATTGAAAAAATTTCGGTGTCATAAAGAAATTATAGAACTGTTTACTCATTTTTTCTTTGGTGAATTTTTGTCTTTCACTCATTTTTCATTTTATTCAATTTTTTATGGCAATGATGACAGGAACTTTTATAGATTTCCGCAAATAATAATTTTATCTATAAAAATTTAAAAAATGCAACTTTTTGTTTATCACTAATTTGCTTTCTTTTTCATAGAACTCATAAACGTTCATTTTTCCAAAAATTTACTTAAACAAATTTTTATTAATAACGTCTTTACAAATTTTAACCAGCGAATTTGTTCCATTTTTATTTTATTAAAATCATTTAAAAATTTATACTACAAGTTTTTTTGAAACTAGTTTTTCTCTTTTTTTTTTGTTCCATTTGTCAATTGCATTAGAAAACTTGAAAAATTGACAAAATTAAATATTTATTTTTTCAATTTTCAGAAATATCTTACTTTTGTTCATACATACATACATACATGTATTTTGAGTACATTCTATTTACTTTGGGAATGTCTACTACGAAATTTAGTTTTTAAAAATTAAAATATGCTAATTGATTTCACTAGACAAAAAAATTAAAATAAAATCTGGTTTTATTCGATTGAGTATTCATAAAATAAAAGTCAGATAAAAGAATTTGGCTATAATAGACTGAAAAATAGTGTATGAATGCATGCACAAGAAACATATACTAATATATTATGTCTATATCGCATAAATAACTTCTATTACTAAGTACTTAACAAAAGTGCTTGAATTTATTTATTAATACTTAAATCAAGTTAAAATTTTATTTGAAAAGTTTAAAGAACGTAAGTCATTCAAAACTAAAAGGTTTTCAAAGTGAAATTTTTAAAACACTATGCTCAATGTGCATTTCTAGAATTTGAGATACGTATTAGGGGCCTGATTGTCTATCTCGCTTTTTCTCTTCACTTGAGTAACTATTATATAATTGTATAATGTAATATTCTAGTGAAAAGAATTATTTGGCATTGCGTATATCTCGTTTTTTTCTAAAATGCATACAAAATTTATTCACTTTGTTTTTGAAAATGAGACGTTCACTTGATAATTTGAGAAATAATGCAAAATCCAATTAAAAAAAAAATAATCTTATTGGAAAAGTTAAACATCGATTAGAAAATACAGAGAATTCTGATTTGAAAGTGAATAAAAACTTAAGTACTTAAGTTAATAAAACTTAAGTAAAATAGAACTTCTGATTTGAAAGTGAATAATCAACCTTTTGTCTATTCTTTTCCTAATGTATTTACCATTAATAAGTCAGACATTAGTCGACATATTAATGGTAAATATAATTATAATAAAATAATTTATTATTAAAAAATGAGTGGGAAGAAAACAATACAATTTTATTTTAAATAATATTGTTGACCCTAATATAACAAGAATACGACATGAACATTTAAATATTATTTTAGATTTTCTCATTTGCCGAGCTATTCGAGCTATATAATTTCAACAACTTATGCAAGCAATTAACGCAGTAATTATAAGGTATATATTTGGTTATTTTTTAAGTATTTTCTTTTACAATAATTTTTGAAATATGATTTATTTTAAGAATATTTATTTCTTTTTTCCAATGTATATTTAATAAGTAATTGTTTTCTGTTTGAAGAATATTCTTAATTTAATAATTTCTGTACATGTAACCGTCTTTTTATACACCGTTTCTTATAATTGAAGAGGTAAGTTGACAAAGAGGTTAACTAACAATTTGACGAAAATCGAATTGCTCGGATAAACAAAATTAAATTTCATATATTTTCAACTGTAATTACTCTTATAGCTTAGAAACTTAATAGAAGACGATATTGAGAGTGCACATAGAAGATAAGTAACAAAAAAATGAATAGTTTTACAATGCAAATGTAAGTTAATCTCTTCGTCCGCTTATTGCTTCAAATTTTAAAGGGAAAATTTTGAAAATATTGTAAAATATTTAAATTTATTATATGTAAAATATTGTAAAAAATTGTAAAATATTTTAAATTTATTTATATTTATATATAATATATATTTATAAAAAAGTAATTGATATAATACAGATATATTTATAAATAGTATTCGTAAATGTTCCTCAATTCCATGTTATAATTTATTTGCTTGTTAATCACTTAAATTGTAAAATTAACTTAAAAATTGCAATTTGTGAGTTAAATACTATAGGTTAATCTATACAGGTTATAGATTCCATAGGAGATATACAATAATATTCTTATGCTATCATAGTTTTTAATTATTTTCATTAATACCAATTCCAAATAATTTAATTACTGTGAATTTAAAGTAATCCTTTACTGTTTTACTTCTATCGCTATATCTTGATTTTACCTACGAGTATCTCTCACTAACATTTACTTTCACAAATCACTTACTTCAAACAGTATTTGAACATTTGTCTAAAAAAATATTTCAATATTAATTAAGATTATCTACGTTTTCGTCTGTCTCAAATTTTGGAATATTAATCATTTAAAATTATTAAATTTGTATTTCAAGTTAGTATGTACATTTGAGATATTCTTATGTATATTTTGAAAATTTTAGTAATACCTTATACATAAATTATTATTAAGTAAATTAATTAAGAAAATTTAATTATCAGATCAACATGGGCATGTGTTACATAATAAAAAAAACGAATACAAAAAAATAAAAGAAGTTTTTCAAAAAAAAATTGTGTTAATAAAATTATCATTTTTTTTTATGAATTACTCAATTCAGAAAATTAAAATATACATTCAAATTTTATTAGCACATACATGAATTAATAATAAAATTAATTAGCATCTTTGACTCGCTATTATTATATTGTCATAAACTACAATTTATTAAGTTTTTTTTTAAAGAAAATAATTTACGTGCATAGTGAATATTATCAACAAATATGAAAAAAAAAAGTGTGTACACATGAGCTGTTCAGTGAATAAACTGATTAACCTTATTTCTGCATTTCCTGTAAGACTTGTTTAAATTATTATAAAACAATTGATTTTGTTATATCTTCTAATATTTATTACAAGAAGATAAGTAAGTATAGAAGGATATGTCAGGATTAAATTCATTAAATATCAAGTTTTTTTTAATGTTATTATAAATACTCTTATGGAATATAACAATATATATTATGATATCTCATTGGAATATAACAATTCTAATTTTTTAGCAAAATGCCAAACGATAGTTTATTGTTGTTTAGCTAATTTGTATATTTATTACGTTACGCCTATATTACGCCTATATATTTTACAAAATTTATTTTAAAAATTTTGAGAAATAGTGTACACTATTCCACCACATTTCTCCGTTTTTATGTTTTATGCAGTTAATCGATACATACATTAAATGGTTCATATGAATGTATATGTATGTACTACGCAGAATAATTATTTCAATTACAATTTTTTCTCCTTTTTTTTTATTTCTGATGCAAATTCTGTCAATAACCAAAACAAGAATTGTAACCGAAATAAAACACGTGTAAACAATTGTTTATATACATACATACATACACTTAAGATTTACTTGTGCTACCTCACAAGAAGTGCCAAAAATAGCTAAAAATATATTTTTTTTAAAGAAATATTTTATATGTGCGGTTCGCGTCATTTCTTTTATTACTTTTTAAACCAGTGACATTTTCATATTATTTTAAATTAATTGAATATAATAATTAAATTTTAATTATATATTGTTAAATAAAGAATTTAAAATATATAATAAAGTTATTCATTCGAAATTATTGTACATTTATAGATGAAAGCTGAACAACGGTGTAGATATTACATATACAAATTTTATAATTTTATCGTTCTAGGATAAATAGGATCAAAATAATTTGTAAATTGGATAATAAAAAAATTTGTCTTAAAAATAAGAGCAAATTTTTAATTTAATGTGTTACATTGTTTAATGTGTTATAGCATGTTTCTTAAATTATATA